CTATTTGCAGACAATACAATACTATGCATAAGTGACCCGGAAATTTCTACCAGGAAACTCCTACAGCTGATAAACACCTTCCAGCCTTGCTGACAGAAGACTGATTGGGTGAGTTGAAGTGTGAGGATCTTAGCAAGTGTCCTTTTCACCTCACTGTGTTCCTAGGTTAATTCTCCCTTTCTTCCAAGCCTCAATTTCCATCAATTTCATTGAGGCAATCATGAGAAGCTGTGGGAATGTGAGACAGGGTGATTGCAACTTTGTGTGTTCAATATCCAGTGTTTCCATGGTTACATCTTATTCTCAGGGTCTCAGTTGTGGCAACCATGAAGAAGTGGTCTCTTGTGCCTGTGATCTAAGGGACAGAAGGCCCAGTCTATTGACTCTTATTGTACCAGGTCCTCTGCAGAGACCATGGTTTCTGCAGTTTGGTATGATAGCAAGTCAGACTCTATAATACCCCAAATCCCTCTGGATTTTACTCTAAAGAGCTCAGCCTTGACCTGGAAGAAACTCTATTACAACTGCACTGCAATCTAAGACATGCCTCCTTCTCTGCCCCCAGAGAGATCATATCTGCATGTGTCCTGAGGGCTATCTCACGCTCACCTTCACAAGGATATTCCTCCACTATACTTTGCCTGTCTCAGCCCATCATGGCCACATCCTGGAGGATGAAATCTAGTAATTCCAGGTTTGAAATTTTGCATCAGAGTGCCCCCCTTCCTTATTTCTGTCCCAGTTTTATTTAGTAGCCACATTACATTGGTTTCACCTTTTGAATAAATATGTCTCCCTACACCGGTTACTATCAATGCCAGCCTCACCTCTTTACTCCTTGTTGTGACTCTTTGGGACTCAAACTTCACCAGTCAGCTCAAGAGTGAATATTAATGCTAATGTTGACCAAGGTGGTATGGTAGTAATGATGTTCCTGGGCCTGTATTTTTATATGGTTTCATCTATATGATGAGTCTGTCACATACAAATTATTTCCATTCAGATGATGAAAAACTGGAACTTAAAGTGGTTTTCAAAAATTACTTAAATTTGTATGGTTAATCAGAGATAAACCTGGCTAGCTGGCTTCAAGGCTAAAGTTAGTGGTAGGAATAATTGCAGCAATATTTTTTTCTTTCTCTGTGTGTGGTATTTTGCCAAAAAGCTTACTTGATTATTATATTAAGGCTTTACAAAGTACTAGGAAGCAAGTGAAGGATGTGATATAACCCAGCATCCTAGCATCAGAGGCCGAGGCAGGAGAGTGGTGTATTTGAGGCAAGTCTGGGTTTTATAATGAGACCATTTCCCCTAATAGTTCCCCCATCCTATTAGAAGGAGAAAACTAAAGATTAGGATGAAGATAACCAAAACAGAGACTAGAGTAACTGCAAAGAAAGCAGATGTACCAAAAGGTTCTTCAAATTTGATTAACAACATTAGCAACCTTTTTTCAGATTAACTTTGAAAAAATCAGATGGATATTAATATAATTAGAGACCTCACCATCCATTCTCAAGAATATTAAGAATTTCAAGAGCACTCAGTAGTTATATGCTAACTGTTGGGTGACCTAGTTGCAATGGACAAATTCCTACAAACATGGATTCTTTACAGATATAATTGTGAAAGAAACAAAACCGAATAGCTGTATAACCATCCAGATTGAATCAACAAAAAATTGACAAAGTTTCCCAAATTTTGATGATAAAAATAGCCTGACATTCTAATCACCAGTACTGATATTTTTGATACCTTGTCTCATTGTACAGTCCTATCTTGCTTGAAACTTGCTATGTAGACCAGGCTGGCCTTCAACACACACTATCTACCTGCCTCTCCCTACTAAGTGCTGGCATCAAAGGTTTGTGCCAACACACTCAGGCAACATTTGGTTTTACAACTTAGAGAAGTGTAAGCAAAAGAACATCATCAACTCTCAGAACAGGGCTCCCAGGCACATTCTCTACCCACTCTTACCATTCCATGGAGTCAGAGCTGAGCTAGCCACCCCACCCATGAGACAGGAGCAGACAAGTAAGCAGAGGTTTAGTCCCCATCTGTGGGGAATATTCTCCTCCAATTGGGAGAATAAGAAAGTGAGCACAGTTGAAAGTCCTGGGTGTTCCTTGTAGGTCATGGAGCTCATAAAATGAAAGTGGAGGGGACAGGAAAGCTTGTGTTGGGCATAGGAAAAATCTTGACCTTGAGGCTCTCCTAACCATGGAAAGTCCCTTATACAACCAAAGGCTTTAAAGGCTAGGAGAACCTCCTCCTCACATTGCAAGCTCCATCCCTATCCACCAGAAACCAGAGAACCAGGAGGCCATAAGACATAGGGATGGAACAGGAGGCTTGGGGGAAGACTGAGTTTTGCTTGCTCCCATAGACATGGGCTGGAAATTAAATGCTTCTTCACCTTCCCAGAAAACTAAGAAACTCCACTCCAAACCCAGTGCTGATATTTCAAAGATCCACTTACTCAGGGCTATAATGTTCTTGACTGTGGTCTTACTGAGGACCGTGACAGTTATAGATCAGGCAGGTATAAGATCCACTATTATTAGTATTGATATTGGGAATATAGAGCTCTTGGGAGGATGATTTGAGCTTCCCATTGACAAACCAAGAGTACTGTGCAGGTGGGTTAGCATCTGTGTGACAGGAGATGTGAGGTTTGTCCATCAATGGAGATGAATATTTGAGGGGGATATTCTCAGGACATCTGAATCATGTGGAGCAAACAATAAAGTCACATGTGATGTCAGCAGAGGGAAGGGGAAATCCTGGTTTGTAGAAGGACATAGTAACTCTTTGAGCTGTGCTTTAACATTATTTGAGCAGGGCTTACACAGAGCTGGGGTGCATATTAGCAGAAGAGTACTCATTCAGCATGCACAAGCCCTGATCTATCTAAAGCACAACACACAAATACCCCCACTGCACACTCGTGTGTGCACTGGGAATGAGTCTAACATGTCCCCTGTCTCCATTACCCTGAGCCTCTCTAGGCAGAAGTCCCTGGAGCCCATTTAAGATCAGTGTTCAGCCTGTCTACATTTGCTTGGGCTGGGCCAGGATGCCCTGGCAGCCTAGGTATCTGTATATTAGGTCTATGTCATGAACCTAAGGGGATTGGGACTGAGTATAGTAGCTCTAGCCTTCTGTATTTAGGCAGTTGGGGCCAGGATGAAACAGAAAATATTTAAAGTAATGTTGAGTGAATGGGTCACTTGCAGAGTCCCTCACTGGGTTCCAGGTTCACATTCATAGTGTCCTGCGTCAGTCCTCACAACACTGAGTAAAGTGAGAGTCCTGTTGTCCACAGACAGCTTCAGCCTGTCCTATTCTGAGAGGCTTTGGCCATTTATCCTCCACAGGTAGGCTGTATTTTGAGTCTTAGCCTCACACATTAATGCTACTGAGTCTTCACCATCCATGGGACTGGAATGTTCAGTTGTGCTGCTGGGCTTGGGTGGCAGTGATGTGCTCACCACAGAGAGATGATTGCCCTGTGTGGTACATCTGATTCTTGCAAAGGCCTCTTACAACCAGAGACAGTCTCTTAACTTCCAGCCAACCCAGATCCTTAAATAATCAGGCAGGAAGCAAATTACAGGTAGATGGAGTGGCAGTATGCTCAGAGATAATGGGGACTCCTGTGCTGTGTATGGGAGAAGAAAAGACTTTCTCATGAATGAACTGAACTGCAGTGTTTTGTGATGGTCAGACTCAAGACTTGGAATCAGAGACCTCATTTTATCTTCTGGCCCTCACTGACCCGTTGCCTGCCTTGAGACACAAGGTTCGGGTCCCTGCAGCTACAATGACTTCCCCTGCTGAGTGTAGATCAGAGCCCTCCCAGGCTTTGATATTCAGGGCTTTCCTATAGATAGGTTATGATTAGTCTTCCAATTGAGCTTCCCTGAGAAACCTGACAGCCTGTGAGGGATCTCACACAGCTCAGGATCTGGCTGACATTTAGTTCCAGCTGGGCCACAGGTGGGCCATTCTTGTCAGGTGTTTGATGTTGATTGACATGAATCAGGGGGTCCTGATTCCATGAAATGATCTAGAAGAGTGAAGGTCACTTAGTACCATTTCCTTGTCGTGGAGGCTGGAGATGTGGCTGTGGACAGAAAGCTTGTGCTATCCACAACCTATGTGACCCTGACTCAGTGACTGTGTTTCCTGTCTCAGTTTCCCTATAATAGGACACATGGTAAATGATCATTGCCATGCCTGCAAGTTAACCTTAAATGTGAACAACAACCTTACCTTCCACCAAGCAGTGTCTGTTAGTGTTTGCCTGCAGGAAATAATCCCTAGGCGGGACCCACAGAGGCAAAGAGCTGCCATTTGTACACTTTTCCTTCTATCTCTTTAGGGTTCATGACCTTCCTGGGAGGTCTCAGAAGACCATCAGAAGATCTGGCTGATCGCCTTTCCTACCTTCCACATATGCTCAGCACACTGAGTCTCAGGAGGAGATGCCCAGGTGACCTACCTCAGACATGGCTCTCAGAGGCTGACTGTCAGCAGGCTCCCAGTCTTCAATCCATCATTGTCCTCTGTCAGCTCCAACAGGAGATCAAATTCCAACCCAGACTACAAGCTGTTTGGGATTCCTGATCCAGTCTGGCAGGGAATTCTTGAGCAAAGCTATTGGGGGGCATCTTTCTGTGAGACTCTCATGGTTTCCTAGTCATCCCTGCCTGAGTCCTGAAGGGTCTTTCTCAAAGCCATATTCATGATGAGAATCTAAGACCCTGGGCAGAATCTAACATGCCTGAGCTCAGTTACCTCAACCCTTCTTCTCTGTGGGTGGATTCAAGTGAGGCATCCTGATTTATGGCCGTTTTTCTCCACTGTTAGTCATTTACTAAATGTTTGTATCACAATGTGGGGACCATGACACAAAGTCATCCAGGAATGATAGCTGTATACCTGAAGTAGGATTAGTTCCACCCATGACCCAGAAGTTGCAGAGAATTACTTACGGTATACATGAAACTTCACTTGTAGAAGCAAATTAGTATTGTTCTTAAATACCACTACCGCTCCGTAGTCTCCTGGGTCATCCTTACTAACATTCTTGATGAGCAGGGATTTATTAAGGTGCATTTTCAAAATATGTTTGTATCCCCTCTCATATTTTACTGAATTCTTCTCTTCAGAATAGGAGGCTATGATGTACCTCACACCACTGACTAATTTGTACCAGGAAAACTGAGAGACATTATCCAGCACATTGTGGGCAAGTAAAAGAACATCATTCCCTACAGCAACATTGAGTGGAACTGCTTCAAGAGTGATGTCTTGGGCAGCGGTGGGAGAGGTCCAGTAGGTTAAAAGAGAGACTAAGAGGGAAGAGAGAAAACAATCAATCAATATTAGGACATTTACTTTTGGTGGAAATTTGAAACGTGAGTGTTTAACTCTCAGCATTGGTGTGTGTGTCCTGTTGAGGGGAGGTCAGCAACATCACCCCCATTCGTCAGTACCCCCTGAATCTTTCCACTTTATGAAACTGGCTTTATAGTGTCTACACAGCTCATACCTCACTGCCCTCAGATCACTAATACTCAGAATCTATTATGGTGGTATTTTATTTATACTGAAATGTGATTTTAATTGTATGTTAATAAATAAAGTTGCCTGGGGGTCAGAGCTATTAGAGCCATAGCAAGAGCATGGCGGTGGTGGCACATGCCTTTCCTGGAACTCACTTGCTAGCCCAGGCTGGCCTTGAACTCATAGACATCCTCCTGGCTCTGCCTCCCAAGTGCTGGGATTAAAGGCATGCGCCACCACCGCCACGCTCTTGCTATGGCTCTAATAGCTCTGACCTCCAGGCAACTTTCTTTATTAACATACAGTTAAAATCACATTTCAGTACAAATAAAATACCACCATAATCTATGGTGAGTGTAGCATGTCTTGTCTGACCTCCTCCTCTAAAGACTCTGTGCCTTCACATTCTGACCTTTCCCTGCTCTGTTGCTTCTGAAGTGCTTGTCAACCCCTGGGCCCACCTTCTAGATGTCCTTGCTGCTCTATCTCCTTGCCCAATAGTAGCAGGGCATTCTGAGGAGGACTAGTTTGATTTTTGGTTTAAACCTCTCTACCTCAAACAGGCTCAGAAACCTGTGAGCAAATGAGTGTCCCAGAGCCTGGGGTTTATTTGCAGATTTCTCAGGGTCCTACATAATGATGTTGTTTACTTGCCCACTTTGAGTTTTACTTGGAGAGTCACCCTGATGGAGTTGTCAACTTGAGTCTTCAGGATAGAGTGGCCAGTGCTGATAAATCTACAATGGGGAGCAACTGAGTTTTTTCTTCCCCACTTCCCAATTCCCATCCACTGTGAGCTTCCTGATGGTCTCAGGCTTCAAGCAGAGCCAGATGTCATTTCTCAGGCTCTTTCCCTCTCCCAGAAGACCCCATCCAGTCTATGAGCTCCCCAACTCTCTACTCCTGAGGAATGTCTCCTCACCTGTGAGCAGGAGTCCTCTCCAGGAGACCTGTGCTTTGTGGAGAGGGGCTGAGGAGAGCTCCATGGTCTCTATTATGGGCTATGCTCTTCCTCTGGAGAGGAGGTTTGTCTCTCAGACTGCTGCCATGCTGGGCTCCTCTGGTGTCTGCTCTGCTTTTATTCCTCCTCCCAGAATAAGAGGGCACTTCTTGGAGCCTCCTCCCAGAGGAGGGCACTTCCTGGAGTCAGATGGGCTGGGGGTGGAGTCTGTGTGTGTGCATTGCTCTGTTCTTATGTGAGTGCTGCCTCCCATCCTTCTGTTCCTTTGTTGTTCAGTGTTCTAGAACATACTTTGAGCCAAAAGGCTGAGAACTGTCCCGAGAGAACAGCAGCTCAGCCCAGAGCCTTGTCCCTAAACTTCCTATAGCCAAGAGTGTTTTTCCTTGAGACCCCAAAACCTAGCAGAGCCCAGTCTGCCCTGTGATCTCAATGCTCTGGGAAGGTGGGGTTTATTCCAAGCAGGGAGTGGCAGTCTACTCTAGGGGCAGGAAAAGGTCCAGTGATGCCTGTGGAGGGCCCAGACCTGTCATCACTAGTGTCACCAGTCAGGTGTCTGATGAAGGAATACATGTTATCTCAGGGGTTCATATTCTGCTCTGCAGGAGGAGGTGACCTGTGTGTCCTAGGAAGAGGACCCTGCGCTCCGGCTTCTTATGGAGGGCACCAGGGAGACTCCTCCACCCCCAACTTCCTTTGCTGTATGAATGTGATTCAGGTCTGCCCATGCCTTATCTGATCTTCTGGGTTGTCTTTGCTCTCCTTGGTGATTGCCCTGTGATCTCCCTGTCTGTCCTCACGGATGATGAGAGGGGGGGGGGACTAAATAGGGTCTCCTTGCAGAGTGGGGGTCTCAGAGACACAGGAAATGATTATGTGAGGGAGCTCCAGGTCTGTTGGAACTGGGATGGAAACAAGGCTGCAAGATAGGGTCACATCTCAAGGAATATGTGGTTTATTGTTGCCCCCTCTTGTTCATGAGGAGACCTGCAGCTCATGTATGGGCTACTATGGGGATGGTAGCCAAGCTCCAAATGCTGGAATGAAGCTGAGCACCAAGTTTCCTAGGAAGGTCCCAGTGAGCAGCCGCCTTTGAGGATCTAAGTAGATTTTTACTGCAGTCTAGAATAGCTGAGGTGAGACTCACTGCCATTTTGATCTGCAGTTCCATGAAGACTGATGATGTTGAGCCCACTTTCCCATGTGTTTTTATTAGATTTTTTTTGTATATCTTCTTCAGGGCAGGAATATCCAAGTCCTTTGCTAACTCTAAAATCATTTAAATTTTAAATTAAATTTTAAAGCAAAGTACATTCATTCACTAACAATAACACATTCTAGACTTACAACCTAAAATGAAAACCAAACCAGACACTGCAAACTTTTCATTGTTGGTAATTGCTGGTGGGTAAGTCTTTGAGATTCACAGACAGTAAGTCGGCATTCCCTGGAATTTTCAAAAATTCTCCAATTATGATGATTTAACCATACTTTGGATGCCTTCACTCACTATAATTTTTATAACTGGATTTCTTGTTTAAAGAATAATGCACCCTAAGTTGGTAGTACTTACAAGAACTGCATTGTACAGGGACATTTAAAAGATGAAAAACATAACTTCAAATTTGGGCTCCCAGTAAGGTGGCAGCACAGAGTTACACGTGGATGTTGCTTGTTAAAACCTGTTTTACATCAAAACCATGTTCCGAGTTGAGAGAGCGAGCATTCAGAGAACCCACACACAGTAAAGCATGTATGTGAACTCACTAGGGAGTGTTTTGTCTCTGTAAAATTACCCTTTCATGTTCCTCTTCCTATAGGCTGAACCGTTCCTCTGAATATTTAATTACATAAGCACATGCATACATTATATAGGCTATGATCCACACACAAGAAAGAAATGTGGGTTTTCCCATAAGTTTGGGGGATCTCATTTAACAGTATACATTCTAGGTCTATCCACTTTAGTGTAAATTTTGTGATTCCATTTTTCTCTAGAGATGAATAGTATTTCATTTGGTATATGCACTAGACTTGCATTATGCATTCATTTGTTGATGGAAATCTAGATTGGTTCCATCTCCTTGCTATATTGAATATACCAGGAGCAGTCACGGGTGCCAATATCTCTATGGTAGGGTACAGGATCTCTGGGTAAAATAGCTGAGTCATGTGGTATTTTGTAATGTTTTGAGGCACTTCCACAAGTTCCATATAATGACTCTATTAATTTTCACACCCACCAGCAGTGAATATGTGTTCCTCATTCTCCATATCCTCTGCAAAATTTATTGTCAGTTATTTTGATTATAGCTAATCTACCTGGGATGAGCTAGTATGTCACAGTAGATTTAATTTGCATTTCCCTGATGACTAGGGATCACTTTTTTCCAGAGTTGTAGCCGTTATTTGCTCTGAACACAAAAACTGTACTATATAGATGACTTAAAATATGTTTTTCTGTTCTGAAGGTTGTCAATTCAGTTTGTAGTTTTAATTCATAAACTTACTGTCATTGGGTTACTAATGTTGTGATGAAACAACATGATTAAAAGGAATTCAGGGGAAGAAAGTGTGTATTTACCTTATACTTCCATATCACTGTTCATCAATGAAGGAAGTCAGGACAGGAACTCAAACAGGGCAGGAACCTGGAGTCAGGAGCTGATGCAGAGGCCCTGGAGGAGTGCTGCTTATTGGATTGCTCCTCATGGCTTATTCAGGCTGCTTTCCTATAGAACCCAGGGCCACCAGCCCAGGAATGGGTTCACCCACAATGGGTTTGTCCCTCCCCCTTCAGGCCTTATTTAGAAAATGCTCTTGAGGCTTGCTTACAGCCTGGTTTTTTTTGTTTTTTTTTCTTTTTTTTTTTCTTTTTTTTTCCTCCCCACCCCCGTTTTCCCTTCTTTCTTCCTTTCCCTTTCCTTCTCTCTTTCTCGTCTTCTCTCTCTTTTCTCTCCTCTTCTTCCTTTCGGAATTGGCCGGGCTTCCCTTGGCGTTCATCAAGGCTTTCCTTTTCAGTTTGAGGCGGGCTTTGTTTCTTCCCCTTGCTTCAGGGTTTCCCAGGGCTTTTTGGCTTTGGGATTTTTTTTCAAAAGTCAGCTGAAGCATGAGGAACACCTGATCCCACTGCTAGAGGCCCCACAAACAGACAGAGCTACACAACTGTCACCCACATTTAGAGGGCCTAGGTTGGTCCCATGAAGGCCCCCTAGCAGTTGGTCCAGAGTCTGTGAGCTCCCACTAGTTGTTTCAGTTGTCTCTGTGGGTTTCCACATCATGATCCTGACCTCCCCTGCTCATGCAATTCCTCCTCCCTCTCCTCAACTGGACTCCTGGAGCTTGGCCCAGCTGTTGACTGTGGATCTCTGTGTCTCATTCCATCATTTAGTGGAAGGAGGGTCTTTGATGACACCACTCTGATTACAGGAGAAGTCCAGTTCAGGCCCCCCTCTCCACAACTGCTAGTGTCTTAGCTGGGGTCATCCTTGTGGATTCATGCAAGTTTCCCTTGCATGAGGTTTCTCTATAAACCTCCCAATATGGCCCCTTTATCAAGATATCTCTTCCATTAGTCTCTCCTTCCATCCCATGCCAGCTCATCCAATCTGATCACTCATGCTCCCATCCCTCCATCCCTTTCCTTCTTTCTCACCTCCCCGACTTCAAGTTTACCCAGGAGATATCATATATTTCCCCTTCCCAGAGAAATCCATGTGTTCCTCTTATGGTCCTCTTTGTTACCTAGCTACTCTAGGGCTGTGGATTGTAGTCTGGTTATCCTGTGCTTTACATCTAATATCCACTTATGAGTGAGTACATACCATGTTTGTCTTTCAGGAATTGGGTTACCTCACCCAGGATGATTTTTTTCTAGTTCCATCCATTTGCCTACAAATTTCTTGATGTCATTCTTTATTACTTTGAGTACTTTGTTGTGTAAATGTACCACATTTTCTTTATCCATTCTTTGGTTGAGGGGCATCAAGGTTCTTTCCAGGTTATGGCTATCACAACAAACACTTCTATGAACATAGTTGAGTAAGTGTGGTGTGATGATTGAGCTTCCTTTGGGTATATGTCCAAAATTGGTATGTCTGAGTCTTGAGGTAGATTGATTCCCATGTTTCTGAGAAACCCTCATATTGATTTCCAAAGTGGCTGCACAAGTTTGCACTCCTATCAGCAGTGGAAGAGTATTTCCCTTACTCAACATCTTCTCCAATATGGGCTGTAATCAGTGTTTTTGATTTTAGCCATTCTGAGAGGTGTAAGATGGTATCTCAGAGTTGTTTTGATTTGCATTTCCCTGATGGATAAGGATGTTGAACATTTCCTTAAGTGTTTCTCTACCATTTGAGATTCTTCTGTTGAGAATTCTCTGTTTAGATCTGTAACTCATTTTAAATTGGATTATTTGGTATTTTGATGTCTAGTTTGAGTTCTTCATATATTTTGGAGATCAGCCCTCTGTTAGACATGGGGTTGGTGAAGATCTTTTCACATTCTGTATGCTTTTGTTTTGTCTTATTGACCATGTGCTTTGCCCTACAAAATCTTTTCAGTTTCAGGATATCCCATTTATTAATTGTCTATCTCAGTATCTGTACCACCTATGTTATATTCAGGGTGTTGTCTCCTGTGCCAGTGCATTCAAGGCTACTTCCCACTTTCTCTTTTGTTAAGTTCAGTGTCACTGGATTTATGTTCAGGTCTTTGATCTACTTGGATTTCACTATCGTGCAGGGAGATAGATATAGATCTATTTCCATTCTTCTACATGTGAACATTGGTTATGCCAGCATCATTTGTTGAAGTGTACAGCCGGATCGCATGGAGGTATTTTCTCAACTGATGTTGCCTCTTCTCACATGACTCTAGCCTGTGTCAAGTTGACATAAAATTATCCAGCACACATACTAAATCTGACTAAAATAAAGGTCAACACTCATCACAAAATCAACTTTAGCACTTTATATGAAATTCTTCTAGAATTTAAAAGCAAATTAATTTTCCACATTTGAAAATTTTTAAAAATGTGTTTATGTCCTTTAAAAATTTTTTTTTAAAAATGTGTCCTTTTGCTTCACAGAAAGCCTAAGGAGGTAAATCAGTTCTCTATTCTTTTTTCTTTTTCAAGATTTCAAAGGAAGAGTCAAGAGTCAATTTTGTATCCTAAGTTATCTTTCTTTTTCTTCAAAGAATGAAGAGAATTGCAGCCACATGCTTTAAAACACATTTAAA